GGTACATCATTCTCCGGCGGGATTTCCAGCCCTGCCATGGAGCCATTGCTCATCCGCCATGTCCCGCTCCAGAGGAGGTGACCCCTGGAAAAGGGGATAGGGGATTTTGTCAGCCGAAGGAGATGGAAACACCGTCCTGGCAAGCGAATGTCCCTGAGTCGCTCGGTGGAAGCTGAGCCCAGTCAGACAGACAGACAGACAGACAGACATGCACCCAGCGCTGCATCCCCCAGAGCGAGGCAGGGTGGGAAGAGGAAACTCCTCCGCCTCCGCTGTGGGGTAAGGGTCAAACGTTGCAACAGCTGTAAAGTGGATTTAGGCCAAAGCAAACAAACAACAACTCCCCAAAAAGCCCAAAAAACCAAAGCAGCCTGGGCCCGTGTGGGGTTTGTGGCAGAGGTGGAGGAAGGCTGAGACAGCTCGAGGCCCCGGGAGACCTCGGCACCCAGACCCGGTCGCTGCGTCCAAGAAACATGAGCTGTGACGAGCAGGAGCACGAGGAGGGCTCGGAGGGTGTCTGGGGACACAGGAACCCTCTGCTACAGCGAGAGCACAGGCGGGAGCTGGGTTTTCCTATCCTAGAAGGAGAAAAAAAGCAATCAGGTGATCCACTGCCGTCTATAAATACACCCAGGGAATGAGTAAACATCACGGAGAGCAAAAACGGTGAAGCTGAGGAACGGCACTGGCACAAAGACACGTTTGTAGAAACCGGCCAGGGGTGAGTTTAGGCTGGGAGGGAGGTGACAGCTCCTGCCCAGCCACACAGGGGGGTCCTCGGCAGGCTCAGTCAGAGCCACCGGTGTAAACGACATGGTCCTCATCACAAGCAGAGCTCGGGCAGTTTGGAAAAGGAGATGACAAGGCTGTGGTGACAGGGGACAGACCCCCATGGCCATGGGGGACGGCTGGAGCCTCTGTTCCCACCTCTGCGAGGCCAAGAGCTGCCCCAGCAGAGAGCACAGACACCTCATTGCTTACAGACAGGACATGCACATGGGATCCGCTTCCCACCAGCTCGCTTCAAACCACCACAGCGGGATTTGGAAAGCCAGAGATCCAGGATGGGAAGGCATTAACCCTTCACTCACTCACCAGCTCTGGCTCACAGACCTTCTGCATCCAGAATTAAAACCACAGCAAAGCCAAAGCGGAGCATCCCTAACAGAAAGACGCCGGCGTGACCACGCTGCGGGAGTGCGCACAGGCAGCTGCACGCTCAAAATCCACCGCTTCTTTCCTTGCGCCGCCCAGGCAGGGTGAAGATGCTTCCCCTGCAAGCAGGGGAGACATCCTGCCTTGCAGCTCAGCCCCTGAACATGAAAGGTTCTCGCAGCAACAGCTGCTTTCTCAGAGCCGGGTGCTTGTTTCAACGTCAGGAAAAGCTGTCAAGCTGTTGTCAGCTATTTACACGCCAAACCCAAGGCCAAACGGCTCATGTGACGTTCACTTCTGGCACAACACTGCTCAGCTCACGGGCTGAAAATATCCAACTGGTTAGGAAAAAATGGCTGCTTATAAATAAAATGTGGGGCTGGCCCCACCACTGTAATAAAAGAGCATCAAAACAAACCCCGGCCTTGGTAGAACAGAGGTCTGGCCAGGCTGCTGCTCAGCTCTTGCCAGGATGAGCATTTTTATTTGTCTACCAGAATGTTTGGTGTTATAATCGTGGCAGAGGGTGAGAGCAGTGAAGGAAGGAGTGCTGTGTGCTCTCTGTAAAACTGGAAGCCTCACCCATGTGGGACCACGAGGATTCGGTGCCTTGCTCTGCGGAGAAGCACCCACGGAAAGCAAAAGGAGAAAAGCAAAACCCACTCAGTTTTCTGAAACACCCCGAACCCTAAAGCCCAGCCCAGCTCAGCAGTGCCAGATGAGGAGGGTGCGCACGGAGCTCTGCACGTGATGTGAGATGCAGTCTGCAACGTAGGTGCTCCGGACGCTCCCAGCCCACTCGCATTCCGAGTCTCCGGCACTGCTCTGGGCTCAGCTCCATGAGAGTTCAGAATTACTTCAACAGAACCAGAAAATGAAAAAAACCCACCCCAAAAGCCTAAGGCTGCTGCCAGTTTCCACACTTTGGAGAATATTTCTGGCCATGTCTTTGATTCGGAGGGCGGCTGGAGCACCCAACTCCCCAAGGGCTTTTGTAACATTTAATTTTCGTTCAGAGACTTCCATGCCCCGCGAAATAATAGAAAAATGTACAAGAAACTTCTACCACTTACGCACTTTTAAAACCAGTTACATACATTTAAAATCAGTTCATGCTGCAAACCCTCGTAGGCCTCTCAACTGCCTTGCATGGGCAGCAGAATCACAGAATCACAGAACAGTTTGGGTTGAAGGGACCTTAAAGCCCCCCCCAGTCCCACCCCCTGCCATGAGCAGGGCCAC